TTCTTGTGTGGCTTCAATTTACTTTATAGTAAAATATATGCTTCTAGAAGACTTTTACTTCTTCACCTTTTAGCTTAAGTCGGTGATGAATATTTTAACAAAAACACCAGCAAATTTCCTAGACATTATAAATGTGTTTGCAATGGTTTTGTTAAATAAAAGGGAAATCATCTCACTGGATCTTCCTCCATTGGAGGTCTCTTGGGATATCTTCTCCCCTATTGAAGTTTAGAAGACTTTTACCTAGTTTTAGTTTGTGGTACCTTCTTGCGTAGCCTTGTTATCAAAAACTTGTGCAAGATGGTATCAATCATTAATAGTCTCTCATCATCCAAATCCTACTTCCAAAACGAAACCAGAAAGAATTTTAAGTTGTCTTCGGATTTACCCAACCTGCCATCCAATGTTGACAATAGTGGTTGAACACAAAAAAATCAAAGCAGGCCCTCTTGAATTCTATCGCTCTGTAACACTCAAATTAATTTCAAAATTTTATGGCTGGACTGAAAGGTGTTCTATGAATAATAAAAGTGCCCAACCAAAGTTGTCAACATTGGTGCAATAACACCATAGATGAAATGAAGTCAAATTTTTTTTTTTTTTTGGTGACAACTGTATCATTCAATGCCCTAATTCCTCACGTTTCTTTGTTTGACAATTCTATCATCGTAAGTCTTAGGATGAAATTTGGGACCGTAAAAATTCTAATGCCGACATTACGTGTCCAAGATAGACAGGAAATTACGAAAATCTGTCAATCACCATAGTTCTCTCTCTCTCTCTATATATATATATATATATTGCAACGGTGCAAGCCACAAACATAGAAGATAGAAAGAAACAGAGAGAGATGGCTGCAACACAGAGCAGAAGATGGTCTCTCAAAGACACAACGGCTCTAGTCACTGGTGGAACCAGGGGAATCGGGTTCTTCTCTCTTCCTTCTCTACTTGTTAGATTTTTTTGTTCTTCCACTTTCATGATTTTCAATGTTCCATTTGGTGATAAAACACTGCATGTTATGATCTAACAGGTATGCTATTGTGGAGGAAATTGCGGCACTTGGAGCAAGGGTACATACTTGCTCTAGAAACGAAACTCAGCTAAATGAATGCTTGCGCGAATGGGACAAGAAGGGTTTTCGAGTCACTGGTTCAGTCTGCGATGTATCTTCACAAGCTGAACGAGACAAGCTTGTGAAGACAGCCTCCTCTGTTTTCAATGGAAAACTTAACATACTCGTAAGTTCCCTCAATGTATTTCATCCAAGATTTTACTAATGAATGCTTCATCTAGTTAATACCCACTAACTTCAAAACGTTAATGTACCAACAAAATTTGAAGAACTAAGAATGTCAAATTTTTTGTTCTAGATAAACAATGTTGGAACAAATATCTGGAAGCCAACTGTGGATTACACAGCTGAAGAATTCTCGGTTCTAATGAATACCAATTTCGAATCAGCGTTTCATCTTAGCCAATTATCACATCCTCTTTTGAAAGCTTCTGGGGCAGGAAGCATTGTTTTCATATCTTCTGTTGCGGGTGTCAATTCATTCCACACCGGAAGCATATATGCTGTAACTAAGGGTACCTAATTTTCATTCTTCTTCAATTTTTATCACCATTCACTAACGTTTTTTGGTTTTTCAGAAAGTAATGATGTTTAATTTCCTACAAATACATTTTGCAGCGGCATTGAACCAATTAACAAAGACTTTGGCCTGTGAGTGGGCAAAGGATGGGATAAGGACTAACTGCATCGCGCCTGGATTCACCATGACCCCTCTTGCTGAGCCTGTAAGAATATGTCTACATTTTTGTGTTGCAAAATAAAACAGTGAATGTGAAGTTTTGTATATAATTGATTCCATTTGCTTGCAGTTTTTCAAGGAAGAGAAGTTTATGAAAGCTTCTTGCGCCCAGACTCCAATAGGACGCATAGCAGAGCCAGAAGAGGTGTCCTCCCTGGTTGCATTTTTATGCCTACCGGCAGCCTCTTACATTACCGGCCAGACAATTTGTGTGGATGGAGGAGCAACCGTGAATGGCTTCTCTGCCCTCCAACTCGCTTGAATTAGAAAACCTTAAAAAAAACTATCAACTAGATGAGTACTGCCCAAGAATAACTTTTCTGTATACTTCAAAAAGTAATAAGATCTTATAATCAGACTCAATTGCCTCAGACATTGCAATTGGATCCAACTCAACTTGTATTGTTCTATCTCGGTATGTATGGAATCGACCAATGCATTTTTGCAACCTTAATTATACTACTAGTAATTTTTGAATAGAATGAGAATGAACAGAGATATCTGGTTTAAGACAACAAAGGAAATTAAGGAGATTGGATTAAAATCAAAAGTAGTTATTATTAATAAACTTAAAAACATCAATATTTGCATAATCAACAACATCCTAAATAAAATTAGCATACTAATCAAGTTGTCAACAACTAAAGCTCGTTTTTGAGCTCGCCTTCAGTAACAGACCTAATAATTCTATCTCCATCGGTTTGTTTATCTTCAACGACCGTCCTAATGCCTTGGCTTCCTAGGCAGGGAACCGCAGGAGTGGTTGAAGTGGCCGTTCCTCGGGCGTTGTTGCATATTGCCACAACCTTGCTTGTTGGAATTGAAGGCGTAATGTTCACTTCATTCATTATAATATTTTTGCAAGGAACCACACTGCTACAATTCAACGTAATTGCTATAATGTCAGCAGATGTTCCTCGAAATCCATTGAAAGTGATATCACTTACAGAGACTGCAGTTCCCTGTTTCAAAAATAAAATAAAATAAAATATCAATAAAAAAAGTATTATATTTTAGAAATAAAAATTGAATTTTTTTTTTTTTTTTCCTTTTTACCTTCTCTGGTGGGCAATTTTGATGGGGACAATAATGCTGATCGATGAGAATGGGATGCTGAGATCCTATAAGAATAATATCCTCATACGAAATAAATCTTGCAAAACCTTGTCCACCCTGTAGTAGATCAAAAGAAACTTTTATTACCCAAAAAAAAAAAAAAAAAAAAAGTTCCAAATGATCATATATGTAAATATGTTAATAGTAATTATATTAGAATTTTCTTACCGCCCAGGTTTTAATTCTGGCTCCGTTTTGAGTACCATTAAAGGTACAATTACGAATGTGTACCTCTTCTACAGTATCCATGCTTCCATCTTTTCCCAGACTTCCCACGCTACATGCAGTAAAACACAAAATTAGGAATATACAAAAATTTTCGATGTTCTGTAAGTACACAGACCAAGTCATTTTTTTTATATTTTACCAACCTAATGCCGTGGCCAGGTCCACAAATAAGCCGCGTGATGTTAACGTGAGAATTTCCACCATTGATTGCAACGCAGTCATCTCCTATTGCAATTTCGAATTAAAAACTAATTAGAATATGAATTACTAAAAATTTTGAAACAAAATCAAATTAAAAGGCTAAAGAGAAGATCAATGTTAAGGTAAGAAATTTAATTTACCTGTTCCAATGAAAGAGTCAGAAATTGTTACTTGATTGGAGTTAGAGAGGTCAATTCCATCTGTATTTGGACTATCTGCTGGCGCAATCAAATTTATGTTAGATAACGATACCCCCTTACAACTAGATATAGCAATGTGGTTTAACGGGCTGTTATGACTTGTAAGTCCAGTTACTTGAAGATTGTTACAGCCAGTAAATCGCAAGACCTATAACAATTAAAAAAATTAATGAAAAATTTGAAATATATCATATACGGATGATATACATGTAATTTTTTAAATTTACAGTAGTTAAGAAAAATACTTACAGCAGGTTTTGCACAATTGTTAATCGTTACCTAAAAAAATACAAGTTTTATATTAAAGACCAATGTATAAATGTAAATATATAATGTGTAATGAATTAATATTATTATAAAAGAAAAATATATATATTACTCCAGGAATCTTCCACCATGCTGGACCGTTTCCTTCAAAGGTACCAGTGCCAGTTAAATTAAGGCTTTCAACATTGCTAAAACAAAACCAGCACTCAGATTTACAATCCGTCCATTGGGTGTTGGCTGGGGCAACAATATTTCCAATTATCTATAAATAAAAAATAAAATAAAATAAATTTTAATTTTGGATTATTTAAAAGATAAAAGAAGGATATATCCAAAAAGAATTTAAAGATTAAAGTGAAAATAATATAAGTCCATAAACTCACAAGGTAAGGCTAAATATAAAAATTTATTATGTACCTACCTGAATTTGAACGCTTGAAGATTTGCATGGACCAGCAAATTCAACTTGCTTAACCAAGAAAGTCTTTTTCGCTGGTACTACCATGGTCGGCATGGAGTTTCCACTAGTCTCACTACATAACTTATTCCATGCACGTAAAAATGCCTAAAAATACATAGACAAATTTTTTTTGAGGGAAAGCAAATATATTGATATATGGAGTTAATTGGCAAAAAAAAAGTTACGAACATATTTAAAATTTAAAATATATAAATAAAAGTAGAGAATATTTTTAAAAAAATTAAACATCATTACCTGAGAATCATCAGTTTTTCCATCACCGACGGCACCAAAGTCGTCAACAACATTAATAAATTGTTGGCCTTGTGCATGGCCAATGTACCAAGTTGAAGACAAAACGCTGAGAATAAACAGAACAAAGAAGAACGCTTCCTACGGTAAAAACATATACACAACAAAAACTAATTAAAGACAACATCCCGAATTACTAGTAATCTAGAAGCTTAATTTAGATATCAGAGATTCAACATTAATGTAGAAAAAAAAAAAAAACTACTAGCATTTACTTAAAATTTAAATCAAACTCCTAATTTCTAACATTCACTTCGTATGAAAAGGAAGTATATATGCTTTAATGTTTTGAAACAAGAGATGAACTATAAAAGTTTTAATTGAAAGCAGTGAAAGATCATAGCTACATGCATGAACAAAACCTATATATCCTTGTGAGTTCAACAGCATGTTTGGGTACCAGAACTAGTTTTTGAGAAAGTAAAAGCGATGAAACTAAACGGAGAGAAGACAAGCTAATAGAATGAACATAAGGCACGAGAGGAAGCTGAGAGACTAAAGTGGATGCAGCTTGTGTCTCACCATTATTGCTAGCCACAATGTAGTCTGTATATTGCAATAGATAATGTGTAAGATTACTACAGCTCTAGGACTTTATATACTATTCTACTGTGTGTAATTTTGGAAAGGTTCATTAATTATGGAAAAACCTACTCCTAATCTATTTATGGTTAAACCCTTTAATTCGTTCATCATCAGGATTTGTTACCATTCCAGACTACAATAGGAGAGCTAACGAAGGAAGGGTTTTGCGTTATGGCATTACTCCTTAGTAGAGACGGAAAAGATTTCATGGGTCACAGAAGAAAAAGTTGTGTGTCGGATATACTCTTTAATTTACTAGTGAGCTCGTACTGATTAATTAGTTAGAGAAGGAAGGATTTTGTAATAATTTCAAATATATTTTTCGTCCAAAGGGAAATTTTTGTGAAAAAGCTTTCATCATATTTTAATTGACAACATTCTCCTAATAAAACAGATTTATAATTTTTATTATTTTATTATTTTATATTCAAATAAAAATTTCTTACAATTCAAACTACAAGGTACCAACTCAATAGTAATTGATGTTTTACAATTCTAATTCAACTCGAACTACAAAACATTCAATTCTTATCCAAATTAGCTTTGTCTTGAGTCTTTTTGATAGCCAACTTAAACAAGCGCATTCTTTCTTTCTTTCTTAATATAACGGGATTTATATTTCTGTCTAAGCCCTGAACTATTAAAACAATGTCAACAGAAGATCCAAATTTTAGGAGTATGAAATTAAGGAACTGATCCTTAATTTTTTTACAGTATATAGCCAATTTTTTTATATCTTTCTGTACTTTTCTGTTTTACTTCACCTCCTTAAAAAAATTACTCGTAATTTTTTAATGTTTCAGTTGCATTATTTGTTCATTTAAGAAATTAAATTGTTGGCTTTGATCCAAAATTTTTGCGTTTCTGAATACAAGAAGTAGAGAAGGAAAGATTTTGTGGGCCAAACATAAGAGAAGGAAAGATAATATTCGTTTTTCTTTTGTTCAAAGGGAAACTTTCCTAAAAGGCCTGTAATTCATCAGTCTATAATTTACATTATTATATCTGAAAAATGATTTACAATATTTATTGTTTTGAGTAAGGGTTTTCTTTCCTTTTGCAATGCAACTAAATCTACTTATTTTTTGTTTAAGCCCTTGAATCTTTGACTCTTAAAACAACATGGATAAAATTAAAGTACTCCAAATTTTAGGAGTCTGACAAGCACTAACAACTAATTTTATATAGCCAAATTTTGGATGAATCTTTCGTCACTCTTTTCTTTTTCTTTACCTTTTAAAATCCTATAGAGAGACTTCAATTACATTATTTTTGGATATTTGAATTAATTAAGTTTTTTTTTTTTCATTGGAGAAATTAAGTTGTTGATTATGATGCAAAGGATGACATTATCTAATATTTGCATAAGAAAGCAACTCTGTTTTTCTTGATGAACAGAGTCTACTCTGCCTCTTGTTCTCTGGGTTGTCATTTTCTTAATTTGAGCAATATATAAAATCATTCACTGCTGAAAAGGTTCAAAACAAGTTTCCACTGTTCTTTAATTTCTCACTTGGAAATTTGATAGAGTAAACTGAACAAAAGAATCCGATCCATTGATTCCATTCCCATGTTATCCACTATTTGAGTGCAACATTTCAACTGTCTTTAATTTATAAATGGTTTTACTAATTAAGAGATGATGCGCCTTTCCTTTCTGGCTGTGTACTCACTCGACTACTTCTCTTGACATGGAATTGAAAAACTCTATATATATATCAATGGAGCATTAGGTTGCTGAAGCAGAGAGACAGAGCATCCGGCAGAACAGCATGTATTATGTATATGTCTCTCCAAAGAACAAAAGCGTGCTTTGGTTTCCGGTGGAACCAAAGAAATCAGATTCTTCTCCCTCCTTTTGTTTCCGGTCCATGACACACTTCTTTCGATTTAGGTGCTGTGGCTTCACATAAAAACAAATTTCAACAATTAAGTCACTTCTTAATAACTTGATTAGGCATAACATGGCAATCATTATTATGTTAAAAAATGTGGATGAGTTCTGAATAATTTCGCGTCTGGTCACTGAGGATCAAAGGAAACAGGTTCTTGTCGACACTTCTTTTGTTCGTTTTCCATGATAGACTTGCCACCTATCTGAGTTTTGTAGCTTCAAAAAATCAGAATAGTTGCCTTCCAAACAGTAGCCTAATTTCTTTTTTTCTTTTTCTTTTTTTTCTTTTCACTGCTGCGTTTTATCAAACACTTTATGTGGTGATCATCAGGTTAGCTATTCTCGATAAATCTATAACTAAGTAAACTGCTCCAGGGTTCATCAGAAGATTCAGAATCCCTTCTCCGATCGTGCGAGATTGTTTCTACCTTCTACCCTCATAACAGATTATCAAGACCGGAGTTGGTGCTTAACCATTGATTAATGATTTTGGACTTTCCCCATATGGTAAGTACATCTCGAAGTCCCCTCGATCTAGACGCCAGATTTTCAGGCATGTCAGATTTAGGTATCTGAGTTGGATACAGCTATAACTAGGTCACGGCGCCAAATGTACCCCATTTCATCCCATGTTAATGCAATCTGCCCTACATGCAAGCTCCTACCTCGCCACGTATCACCCTATTTACAGTCTTTTCCCCCCGCAGCCAAACACCTTCCCACCTCTCTCCCCTACGTGTCCTCTCCCCCCATTTCCTTCCTCGCCACGTCTCCTTCATTCTCCCTCTTTCTCAACACCCATTGCGTTCATAGCCGTTTCCCCACTGAGAAAGGAAAAAAGGAAGGAAAATTCATAAAAGTGAGAATTAAAGACGACGGACGAGGACGGCGGTGGACCGACTTAACCACACCACGGTAGAATCAGACATAAGACATTAGTAATCGATGATTAAAGTAACCCAGGTTAGGCTAACCTAGAATCACGTGGCGTTTAGCTTCTGCTCATTCCAGTCAACGTCATGCACCAGACACACAGTCCCTACCTGGGCCCCGTGCCCAAACACCGTACTGTCCTCTCTCTTACACACATCTTGTGCACTCATTCTCCTCCACTTTGCGTGATTGTGAGTGCGACCCTCCACCCCCCCTCCCCTCCCGGGCTATAATTGTCTTGCTTGCTGTCGCTGGGGCCAAACCGTAAAACACTCGATACATACTTTGAGTTACTGTGTCCCATGGAATTTAATTGTTTTAAATTATTCTTAGATAAAAAAAATAGTAATGAAATAATTTTATATATTAAATAAATAATAATTAAAATTTTTATATGTATAATTTTTATTAAGTATTTTTATTTAAATTAATATTTATTTATTATATAAAATTATCAAATTAATTTTAAATAAAGTTATGACCGAGAAAACTAAAAAAAGAAGAGTGAAGGAGGTAATCATTAATTGAGCCATGGTTATGAATTGGTGGCGCCGGGTCCTAAGTCCTAACGCTTTAACTAGTTAACAGGGTGTTAATTTACTTATATATGAATGGAAAAGGAAAAACCTCCAACAAAAGGGTCCTCAAATTTTTCACTATCACCTACTTGCCCTTTAGTTTTTTTGAATGGTTGAAGAACCCTTTAACTTTTTCAAATTTCAATTAATGATGTGTCACCTCTCCTTGCAGCTGTTAATATTTATAGATCACCTTTTACTGTGTAGAGAAAATGTGACAATTTTTTTTTGTTTAAATAAAATCTCAATCTTAAATAAAAAAAAATTAAATAACTTTATAATAATCGTTTTTTTCATTAGCAAAATAATTTTTCATTATACAAAAATAATATACATCAACATATGACAAAAGTAGCTAGCAACCGTTATTCACGTGCAATATGGCATGTTCAATTTAAGTGGATACTTATAAGTCAAGAAGTTGATAGACTTGTTCGCTACAAAAAGAACCTTGAGGGCTAAGTTGATTGTGTGAAGAAGTTAGAGAGCTTCTTTGTAATTTTTTTTAATTTGTTGGACATGAACATGTGACGGAATAGTTAAAGTATATGTCTTCCGTCTATAAAATCAATTTCGGCGTCAACGATGTGACATGTGGACCCACAATAAGGATCAACGAGGGATGGGCAACGTAGAAGCGTTTTGTTGGGCCACAAGACTCGAAGTCGAAGCGGAATAAAGGTGGCAGATTTTTTTTTTTTTTTTTTTTGCTAGAAAAAAGAAAAGCCGGCCTCAATCTCGCATTCCGCGTGTTGCCAAGCATTACAGCAACGGGATGGTTCTATAAGGAAAATTTGTTTGTTTGTTTGGTTTTTTTTTTTTATATATATATATATAATTTT